GCTGCATCACCTTTTCAAACGTCGTGTCGCAGCATTTCCATTTTTCTGCTCCTTCATCGAGGATTTCCATTTCAACAGTGACCCCAAAAAGGACATTTTGAAAATTTTTATTCAAGAACATTAAGATCAACCATTGGAGTCAGAAAAGCAGAAAACAGAAACATAACTTAACAGAAGTTTTTATCAGATGACTGGGTTCACATCAGCCATTTTTTGGGACGCATCAAACTTAAACATTTTTTTTGACCTAATAACAGTATTCTTTTTTTTGTCTGTGGCATTTTACATCAACATACAATGTTTTTAAAACATTTGGAAAGCAATAATTTTATTAGTTCAACATTAAACTACAAGGAGATAAGCGGCAAATTCATATTCTCCTGCAAGATTTTATGCTTTAGCTGCCTTATGTTTACAATTAGATTCAAAATCCAACTTGTTGGAAAAGCTGTTACATCTGTTGTTTAGAAGTTTAAAACAAATCTGGATTAGACAAACTAAAAAATGCCACGACTACAGGATATGGACGGTATCCGTTTTTAAAATTGATATAAAATGGATATGAATGTGAAAACAAAATTTTGTTACATCAAGTGCAAGCCAAAAACAAAACTATAAATGACATTTGTAATATAAAACTTGGTAAAAAATACTTATTTAAAACTGTACAATCACCAAGTACACAGAGTGAGCACATCAACCACTATTCATTTGGCTTCAGTGGCTTCAGCCTTGGGCTCCTGCGGACAGAAAAACAAAAAACACGCCAACAGCAATGTCAACTGCATTGTTTTAGTCACATGACAACTTATTCTTCATTTTATTGATTATATTAAAAGGAGTCCTTGCAACACTTATCCATTATGAGAACAAATAAAACAATAACTGCCTCACAGGTTTCCAGAACTCATACACATCATTTTTTTAATATCTAGTTCCTTTTTTACTCATTTAATCTTCTTCTTTTTATTTTTTCAAATTTACCTTTGCACTAAACTCATGAACAATTAAAGCAAATAAGTTAAGATAACATATAAAAAGGAGAAACGACCTGGAAAATATAAGAACATCTGTTTGATGTAACATTTATTAATTTGCAGTGTAACAGAAACAAACCTCAGCCTTGGTGCTCCCATTCTCAGCGGGTTTGGCTTTCTTTGTTTTGGGTGCCCTCTAGAAAATAAAATGATAGTAACAAATTAATCACAGAAATGAATCAAGCAAACATGTGGCAAACATCTTACAGAGCTGTTCCCCCATAGTAAGCGTGCAAGATTTTGGTTCAATACCTTTGCAACAGCCTTTTTCTTAGCCTCCACTGCTGCAGGTTTCGGTTTCTACAAGACAAGAAAGAAGATATTTAAATCAGTTTGAGATAACAGAATATAGATCCGTGAAATCCTAGGTAATAAAAGCTTATTACAAGTTAATAAACTTCTTGATCATGGGCTACATCCTCATGTCACATTAGGTAAGATTGTAAGAGAACCTTTAATATATTCTTAAAAAATGTAAAATTAAAATTTAATACACACATGATAGACTACTTCAATTTCAATTTAAAGTGGTTGCTTCTCACAAAAAATAGTGAACATTTAACAAAAACGACAGGATACTGCACATTAAATATACTGAGTACATCTAAAAATGCTTAATTGTGTTTAAAAAGAACTTACTAATGCCAGCCGTGCAGAGGTTCTCTTAGGCTGTAGAGCCACAAGGAAGTGAAAGTTAAAACAAACAGTGTCTTATTTTGCATCAATATTAATAGCTTTGTTTATACATGACCTTTAAAGAGTATGCAATTGCAAAAAGTAAGTTAAAACAAAAGCAAAAAAAAAGAGATGAAAATGGGAGTAGAGTTTGAATAAATATATTAACTAAGTACAACACTCATCATCCTAAATAAGGGCACAAAATATATTATATCAGTGGCAAAAAACATACAAACGATACATCAAAAACAAGCATTTACCCACAAATTCTAAATGCAACTGCTGCATCAACACAATATAAAAATATATTCATTTTAGACAAACCTCAGAGGAAGCAGGTGCCTGTAAGACAAGGAAGGGGAAAACATTACAAACTGAAAAGTAAAACTACATAATAATAATAATAAATACAGATTTAAATAGCACAAAACGTTTTTTTTTCTGTGTGCACTATTTTACATTGTTTTAATATAAAAATGTTCACAGAAGATCTAATATATATTACATTTTTTTAAACACTGCTCTTGATTTTTCAAGTTCACAAAGAGCTTTCCCGCGCATATTTGAATTCAAATTTGGGCAGTCCTGTCACCATGACACCGCCTTGGCGCCCTGACAGCTTCCTTTGTTTTGTATCAGTGCGCGCCTACAGACAGCTGTTGGGAAACTGATAAGATTACTACTTTACTAATCTGTACCTACGACAAATGGAGCTCAACGAATGCCTGGAGAGGTTTCAAGGAAGACAAAAAAAAAAAAAAAAAATCACGGATGAGACTGAGATTTTCATCGAAAAACACCCCAAACAATCCTGTTGTGATAATTTAATTTTAAATCGTTAAATATGCATTTTTTAAATAGTATGGCCACTCACTGCACCATAAATTAATGCATTCAAAATACGACAAAGCGCACACAAATGTGCAAAAAAAAAAAAAAAATCTTATTTTTGTATTTATACGTTTTTTCCTGCTGCGCAATTGCAAACTGCAATCTAATCGCGTTTGACGTTTTTAATAAATATTTACTACTGTTAACAAACCCATTTCAAACGACGATGCAAGAACCAGGCTGGCACATATTATTCAAAACCTGAGCGGAAAAAAATAATAATCGCCACCTCCCCTCCCCCAACTCCTTCCTCAAATTTGCAGCCTGCGTTCGAGCTTATTTTGATTGCTTGATAACGGCGCGGTTCATATTTATCTTCATTAATTCGGATCCCAAGTTATGCATTCAAGCATCGACGCGCAGGTTGAGAAAAAGAATAAAGAAAAACAGTCACTGTCCATATCGAAAGTTTGTTACTGCGTTTACAACAGCAAGATTTGTGCCCTGCCTACTGCCAAAGAGAGGGGGGGAAAAAAAGATGGTGTCAGAAATTTTGCACAACGCAATGTCAACGGCTGGACTAACCAGAGTTTGGCGCTGGAAGACAAAAAATTTACAAAAATACACGCAACTGTGCGCGTTTAACTCATAAGAATAATTTTAAACCATGAGCAAAAATTTCAACTTTTGTTTTCGACGAGTGGGAGGATGCTTGCGCTCCTCTCCACTGTCAGACCGCCATTGCTAAAACGCTTGTTAGGGATGATGACGTTCTTCTTAAGCAGAAATATCAGGCGCAGTCTTGTGTTAACTTAATGCTACGAAAACGATTCCAGTGCACAGACTTAAATTAAATTTAAATTCATGTTTTTTTTTACCTTTGCTTTGCCCATGTTCTCAGCGGGAAACGAAGAAAAATGTCAGGAAAATACAGGTGCGAAAATGGCTTTTTTCGAAGCGATAACAGACGCCAACCAAGCGCTCACAGCGGAAAATGGCGAATGTATAATGCAAACGAATGTTCTTGTAGTTTATACACTGAAATATAAGAACGAAACCGGTTTGAACCAGTTTTGTGTTTCGAATCTCGCCATTGGATAGAAAGGCGTCACGTGGGTTGGAGGCGCCTCCCATTTGTTAAAAAGGCAGACGGCAACTTGAAGGAATACGGATTATAGTCGCGGGGTGGCGCTGTATGAACGACTGATTCGTTCTGCTGTAACCGAAAAAATAAATACGCAGATAATGGCGCGTCAAAGTCGTTGCACCTTTTCTCACCGTCTATCGGATAAACTGAACAATTTTTGCTCACAAAGTCCGCCAGAACCAAATTTTATGGTGTATCTAATATCCCCGCGTTGCAACTGACCAATCACGTTGTTTGATGTCATAGCTTTGAGGCAAAAGACGGTCGCGGGTGAAGATTAGACTATGGTGCTTTCTGTCAGCTTGTGGTGGATGAATGTCTATTTGGCTTGGGCATGTAAGACTGTAATTTTAGCCCTGTGTAAAACCAAAAATCAACATTTAGTCATTATTATTATTACCTGAGGGATTGAGGGTCAAACCAAGCGTTGTGTGAAGAAATACTAATACAGACATATACAATTTGTAACTGGTAGATGTTTAGTGGATTTTAAGCTATCTGACTATATATTAAATAGCTAAAAGTAGGATACCTATTCAACACTAAAATACTGTTCATATGTCTGTGCATTAGTAGTAATATTCCAGAATATTCCAGTACTGTATGCCTGATGAGTAGTATAAATTCATGCTTATACCTATGTATGTGTATATAAGCATATTTTTGTGGGGCAGTATGTTTATAGTATGGTGTTTCTAGTTCTACCAAAGTTTATTAATTCTTCTGTCAGTGTATAGATGATGCAAGTTAAATAAAATTGGTTCCTAGAAGTGTTTCCTCTGGAGGGCCAAGATCCAAATATGATGATTTGATGAAGAGATGTCTTGCATTTGAGTTTGTGATTTAAAGACTGTGGACTTCTTGGATAAAATTGGGACATTTTTTCTTCAATTTTTTCCCAAATAAACAAAACCCAACAAACATCCAGCTGGAAAAAAGTAAAAGTGGTTCTTTGCTTGTGTTATACCACCAACTGAGATGCAGAATAGCAATTACAAGCAGTTATTTAAATTTTTGCAATACATAGCGTATTAGTAGTTGATAAGCTTTAAGGCTCAATACTTCCAACAGGTAGCAGCAGAAATTATATAGGTACAGTTTTATGTGCTGAAAGTCATCTACTTGCAAAAACGACTCGTTAATCCAATAAAACACCATCACCAGTTTCCCCCCTGAGAGTCCATATATATCAGCAGCATGGACCACACACATATTTTTTGCTGCACAAGTTAAGACAACAGATAACCATATTTTGGAAGCCAAATGGAGACAAAAGCTTAGACTTGTAGTATGTAAGTACAAAACAGAGAATTTCACATCATTTAATAATCATATCTGACATACAGTAATCATTTTATTTTGTTCCAGAAAGCTGGTCAAAATATAGTTATGTAATCAAAAATCACAGTCAACAAACAACACTTTATGCTTCAACAACAATTTAAAAGTTCTGTGGACGAATGTTTTGGAACCGAAACACAGGATCCGTGGCTTTCACTCGCATAAAATGACCTTCCGTTCAACGGCATGCATTTAACTGACAGTTTATACGATGATTTAACTACATCTTGACCAGTCATTTCCACCTATTAGAGTTTTTAAATCTACAATCATAAATAGCAGGATTATTCTACAGCCCCATAGGGGTAAAACTGCCCTCTTATATGAATCAGCAACAAAATAAAACCGCTCCCAGTTACTGCTTGCTCTTCCCTTTTCCACAGAAGCCCTTTTGGGAAGAGGACATAGGAGAGGCTTCGTCCCCGCTTCAGAGAATTTGTTCTTCTATGTATTCTTAGGCCAACAAGGATTCACTGCATAAGTCAGAAAAGAAAGAGTCTCTTTTGTGCTTCAGTGCTTCTAGGAAGTCTCGAACTCGTTCTTCCCGGCAGGAAGTGTAGTGTAGTAGCGCCTCTTGTCTTCTCTGGCTATCGACGGGCTTTCCATTGCTGTGATGCTGCAAGAGCTCTGCTACACAAGCACGATCTGCTTCTAGCTGCTGCAGAGCCTGATGCTCTCGATGGAGGTCTCTAGCTTTCTGTAATAACAAACACACCAAATTAGACATACATTTAAATATATACATAGATACAGGAGTTACTTTAATCTTTCTCTGCCTGTTTAATAACACTGTTTCACAAAGTAACACTGATCTACATTAATTGCTACAGTTAACAAGTGATGAACCTGCAACTCACACAGCCAAAACATAAGCCCTTTTCAGATATGGGATGCATAACACAGCTGCTTATTGCTGCTTATGATTCTCCAAAACAATTAACCAAGTGCCAGCGTGTCACCATCTAGTATACTCATAGTGCTTGTCCAAAAGCTCTGATAAATGGAGGGTTTCATCAGAAAAATTGCAACCTCTGTGCCAAATCAAACATGGGGATCTTTCCATTGTAGTGATCCCTTTGGGGTGGGCGGAACAGCTGGAAGTTCTGTTCCAAAGAACTCACAAAAATGCAGGGAAGACATGCACCGTATCCATGCCCCGTGTCTCACTTGCTTCCCTGTGTTTGCACTTATACTTGAACATATTTGCCAACAAGTCCATACACCTCTTTAAGCCACTGATACTGACACATTTATTCCTATTAAGTTAAATAAATATTTGTTCTCTTTATTGTTCTTTGCTGCGGCCTTTGAGTCAGTCATAACAGCGACCAGGGTGCAACATGGAGCTGACACAGTCAGCTGCCATCACATTAATGAAAAGCAGAGCATGGCCGACAGTGGGTGACAGGGGTCATAACTACAGTAGTACCCAAACAGCTAAGTCCAATTAGGTTCAAAACCAAAAGATCGGTATGGTTCAGTTATATTAGACATCTGAAAGTACATTTTTGTGCTGCTTCTAAATAATATTATTCTAGTTATACAGGACCTTTAGTCACATTTAGATCCTTCCCAGCAAGGAAATAAAGGAGGCCAAAAATAACAAACATGATGACCCCAAAAACACACCGTATTCTTCGACTGCCTCACTCTACACAGCCCTTCCAACTCTGGGGACAAAAAGCTATGGAGTATTCAAACTAAACACGAAAAACTGACACATACTGTTGAGACTGCACTTCTTTTTTCTTATAGTGAGTTTCACTGATCTAGCCTACTTCGGATCAAAGTGGGCTGTATGTGGCCCACAATGTAAAATGAGTTTGACATCCCTGGTCTAAACAAATAAACTCCTTTCTCATGTTCGTTCCCTCTTTCTTACGTGCACACATGCTTTTGAAAATCACTCTGGGAGAGCACATTTGTTTGTTTAACTGGGGCAGTTCTTGGAAGCTGTGACTCAGGGTTCCCTCACATTATAGATTCATCACTAAATGCAGATTTTCATGGAGATAGCTTTAATTGGGAAAAGACTGAAATTCCATGAGTGAACCTGAACTAGTTACTTAACCTAACATGAGTGATGACTCTTGTCAAATGCGCTCGGACACACCGCGTGGCTCACACAGTGTGAGTAAACCCTAATTCTGTCTCAGTATTATCCTTACCTGGATGGATTTGTGATTTAATTGATACTGCAGAATGGCTTCACACAGGTTCCAGAATGAGTACTCTGGCCACAGAACGGACTGAAATACTAGGCAGGAGTGAGAGGTCTGCAGAAAGAGCACACACGAAAACCAATACAAGTTTACAGGGTATCTGAGAAAAAACTGGAAGAACAAAATAAAGCTTTTACAATTTGTGCTGTAACCCAGTCATTAGGTTAATACTGTCTTTCAGTGATTGCACCCCCAAACTGGAAGGGAAACTTTAAGCTTTAAGGAATGTAGAAAGAAAATCTTACGTGCAAATAAATCACTAAAGATATATATAGAAAGATAAGTCAGAGGAGATACAAAGAATTCTCTCGGAGTCAGTTTCAGCTGTTCAAGACTATTTTTTTTTTTCCTTGTAAAACCCAAGACTTACCATCCCTGATGGTCACTAGATAAAAACACTGATAGTGAATTAAATATAAACTGTAACTGCACTCATACAATGAAACACTCATCACAGATTGGTTTCTTTTGGCATCAGACAGTTTTGCTGGATTATTTTCACAGACAGCTTTGAAGGTTAACATCATGAATGACCAATACATCCTGCAAAACAAGTCCAACCACCAGTGTTACTCTGTTCTTAATTCACAAAAAAAACATTACTCATCAAGCCCTTTCCTGCGATAAAAGGGGTTGGAATAAAACACATGTTTATTAAAAGGTCAGAAATTAAATAAAGTAGTACATCTCAATACTTGAGCAGTATTCAGATTTTCGTTTGGAGCCAGGAAAAACCCAGCTCCTAAATCATCATGATCCCTAAAGACTCAACCAAGCATAAATCGAAATCCTACTTTGCTGTTTTCATAGTTTCATAGAAAAACAGCCCTATCTTCAGGGGTAAATCAATTCAAGTTTATATATGCAGCACCAGCTGGCAACAACAGTCATTTCAATGGGCTTTATATTGCAACATTCACAAATTGGGGACATCCTGACTGGAATTGTTCAAACAAACAATTCCTATGCAAATTATTGCAAATGACTAATTTGTAAGAACTCTTGAGCATTTGAAATAAAGGCCAGGATGGCCTGTAAGTGGCTAAAACATTTGGATTAAGTGAATGCTTTACAGGTAGTAAGTAACTGCAGTCACCTTAGAGCCCTGTGGTACGGAGCCAAATAAATTGATCATATTTAAAATTTTAAAATGAATTATAACAACAACACCTCACTGAAGAGCTGAGGGGAGATTGGATAGTTTATATGATGTAAGTGTTAGAGTTCCTTAGAGATCAATAGGAGAGAATCAGTCTAAATGAAGATGAGGTTTGTGGGAAATGCGGTCCCAATCAAAAGTTTAAGACCATTTGAAAAATGGCTAAAATATCATATTTTGCATGGTTGGATCTTAACAAAGTTCCAAGTAGAGCTTCAACATACAATGAGAAGAAATGGGAGTGAGACAAAACATTTTTTTTAAGCATGCAACTAATTGAAAACAGCGATTAAACTGAAACAGGCTGTTTTACAGCTGATCACAAGTTTAGGACCACAACTTCAAAAAACAAAAAACAAAAACCACACAACCAAAAAACATAAACGACCTCAAAACAGAAATCAAAGTTCCAAATATGAACTCAGCAATGAGTAGCTTCACCGTTATTATTGATTAATGCAAAAATTTGTTGCGGTATGCTTGATGCAAGTGTTTTCATCCAAAACACCTCTTGTCACGGCAGTAATGTTGGAAACCATCGGGATCATCTTCCACTTGACCTTTGCGTTTCATAACCCTCAGGATCATTGAAGAAATTCCAAATGACTGTCTTACTGCATCCCACCTTAGCAGCAATGGCGCACTGTGAGAGACCCTGCTTATGCAGTTCAACAACTTGACCACGTTCAAAAAGGGAAAGGGTTCTTTTTGCCTTTGCCATCAGAACGTGACGACAGTGTGACTACCTCACAGAAAATGACAATGAATCCTCATTTTTGCACAGATTTGGCCTTTTAAAGGCATGTGGTCCTAAACTTTTGATCAACTGTAAAACAGCCTGTTTCATTTTAAGCGTTGTTTTCAATCATTTGCATGCTCAAAAAAAATGTTGTGTCTCACTCCCATTTCTTCTTGTTGCATATTGAAGCTCTACTTGGAACCTTGTTAAGAACTAACCATGCAAAACATGATTTTTTGCCATTTTTCAAGTGGTATTAAACTTTTGATTGGGACCGTGTTTGGTGAACTTTATTAGCTGTTGATGACACCTATCTCACTCTCACCTGCCAAAGAAGGAAGTCGCTGAGGCGCACCTCTCCAGAGGTGCGGATGAGCAAATCAGGATTTGGTGAGTTATTGCTGTACAGACACTCACTTAGCAATGCCTCCGACACATCACTACACATCACAGAAACACAAACAGCTTGTTAACACAATGGCTCTCCAGGACACCTTTCTACAGAGTATTTAACAAAGGAAGACAAGATGAACTCATTGCTGTTTCGTTTACCTTCCTTTGATCAGGCCTTGCTCTACTCCCCATGCCATTTCCCTGACTGCATTGGTGATTTCATATCTTGATGTGTAGGCAAAACACACATTGACAAAACACCTACAAAACAAGAATTTGTGGTGCTGTGGTCACTTCTAATGTACAGGATATCATGCACATTGAAAAACACAAGCTACTAAGCATACTTATTGTGATTCCTGGTTGTGAACACGGCTTTGGCAATAAGCTGTTGAAGGTCAAGTGGCAGCATATTCAAGTCGCCCAGCACTCGGATACAAACGCCATGTTTCTCTAGATTTTCACTGCAAAACAAAACCGACAGACATTTATAGGAAAAGCATGAAGATGAACAGGATATACAGAAAGACTACTCAGGATCCTGAAACTTGTCTGTCTGGATTTTCTACCCAGAAAAACACAAAGGAGACTCCGGAGAATTTTGAGTACTCAGTGTGTACAGTGGACTTGAAAGAGTCTGCTGTCCAGCACTGTGCAAAAGTGGTTTGTCATAAGGATGTCAATCGTTCGAAAAATAATAACCTTGTATCATAAACAGCCAGCAGCCTCATAAACAAATTTGTCCAAATTTTGATAGACATAATACAACATCCAATAGAAGGGGATTTTTTTTTTTTACAGTGTTAAATTCTTTAGACAGGTTACTCAGATTTAAAAAAAAAGGAGCAAAACATGGCATTTGAACAAGTGAGCTACTTATACCACAGTCTTGTGTGCAACAAATACAGACTAAAGGGCAATATTAAGCAATGGATTAGTCAACAAGCTCTTTGTTTTATTTCTCCAAAGTGAAGAAATAAGTCAGCTGTAAAATATTTCATACTTGTGTGGAAACATAGAGAAATGGCTTGCAGACTAACAGGCCTCCACCTTAGCTTGAAAATGTATCTGCAGCAGTCATCAGCTGCTTAATAAATAAATAGTACATGCACCACAATGACCACAGAGTAAAATGAAAAGAGAATCCACGTTAGTTGACTAGTCTGAGCTTGACATACTGCACTACAGTGAAAAAGTAAGCACTATTGAAGAGACCAGTGGAAATAACAGACTCCCTTGCTTCCTCTTGGCCATCCCACCATTAGCACACTGCATCTGACTCAGTGTCTGATGCATTGCATTAGTAAATGTTTCTGTGTCAACACTGTTGTTGTGTCTGTCTGAACCAAAAGTAACAAACAAACAAATAACAACAGATTTCCATCCAAGCCCACCCTAAAGGTGAACTCCAAGGATCTCGTGCCTCTGCTGGAAACAGGTCGTCAAAACTGGTTTAAAATTGTTTTCTCATGTACAGACCCTCATTTACTTTAACTTCAGATTTATGCTTGAGCGCTGCAAGTCACTCTTTCTAAACTTTACTTTAAGGAAGCAATGAATCATATGATGTACAAACTGTGACCACAAGCAAAGTGGAAAACTCAGCTCGAAACTCACTGTTCCTCCAGCAGCCTTTCAAACTTCTGCCTGGCGAGCTCCATCAAACCATCCACCTCATCTTCGGTGCGCTTGAAGTTCTCAATGCTGAAGGCATACACCGTCACCTCTGGGATGTTCAGATGCTTGCACCAACGTAGTGTCTGGTGTGGAGAAGACGAAGCATTTTGACACACATCATCAATTTGTTTCTGCCCATGTGACATGCATTTCCTATAGCCGAAACCCCCAAACTCACCTCTGCCAGCTTGTTGAAGCCCTGCATGTGTCCTTCCTGCCGTTCCATGTTTTTCTTACGTGCAAAACGTCGATTACCATCCATGATGAAGGCCACATGTTTAGGCATGGGTCCTGCCTGGACGACAACAGTCAAAAGAGTCCAAAGAAATGCAGAAGAAAAAGCATTAATGCAATCTACGGTAATCCATAAAAGACCAACACTGTCTAATGCTATGTAGATATCTGCTGATATCTTATCACAAAAATGTCACGTACAACTTTTTTTCAAAACATTTCAAATTTAAATAAAATAGCAATTTCCAGATTAAAAAAAAACCCCTCATCACCATCAACTAATATGTTTGCATTTTGAACGATAACTAATAAGTCATTCCCTGTGGCCCCCTCAGGGGTTACAGACAATAGCACCAGCTCATGCCCCTAGATATTTAATTAAGAACTATTATTATTATTATTTGTAAGCTTTTCTTTATGGTATTTTCTGAATCTTAACCTTGTCAAACAAATAAATAAATAGTTTGATGTTTTCTAAATGGCTCAGTTTGTCACTCTATTTTCCATCCAGATACTCTGAAATGACATACTTGATATTTTTGTTAAGGCACACATATTTGGTATACATATATGCATTCTTATAATTCTCAGATTCCCTTTCTTATATTTTGCACACCTCTGTTGCTTGTGAAGCCTGCACACAAGAATTTCACTCGTATGCGCTGTACCAGTGTACCAGCACATGTGATGTGACAATAAAAGTGATTTGATTTGAGTCACAGAAAGGCAGAAGACCGACAAAAGCGAGGCTGGAAAAGACAGTCAACTTATAACGTACAGCTTACCTTTAGGATATTGGCAGAAATCTTTTCAAGCAGGGACAACTCGCCTTCTTTTATCCACGACATATCCGTGCTGCCGAAAGACAGAAAGGTTTATTTATAAAAAGGTGGTTGGGGGGGAATTCAATGAGCACTCCTACCGCACACACTCCCTCTTCCAGAAGAAAAAAAAAAACTTCACCAAGTTTTAGCTTTCACGAAAGGGAAGGCATCTGGTTCCCACATTAACGTCCCATTTTTTAGAAGATATTGCATTACATTTGCAGCCACTTATGGATTTCACCGTTAACTGCAAGCCCGGCTCACGAGACCTGCAGGGAACTAAACCGCCGCGAGACTGGAAAAGGACTGACGGGAGCCCTCGTTGCCCAGGAAACACATACAGTGCTTCATTCATTCAAACTACTGAAGCACGAGCTGTTCTACTCACAAACTGCGATCGTTTTATCACATTTCACATACCTTCCAACTCACAGCCTTAACGATGACGACCTCTTCCGTATTGGAGTGAAGTGACGTATGAGCGTGCTGACGACTTCCTGTCAGCAGTTAGTAGATTTTTGAATCATGCGGATGGACGCACGCTACGCTTCAATCAAAGGACTGACTGTGATTTCCTTAACTAAAGGGAAGTGGTCTTCTCAACGTTTACTGAAATAAAAACACCACAATATGAACTAAGGGATGACAAGTAAATTAAAATCTATTATTTTTAATATCTTTTTAATGTCTTTTTAAAAAAATATTAAATCGAACATAAAAAGCCAAAGACATCAATGGGGTTTGAGAGTGGGGGAGGGGGGGGGGTTGTAATATAATAATCCAATAATAAATAGGAATAAATCCAACAAACACCTGACACTGGAACTGAGAGATGCACCTTGCCCTTCAGCTGATCCACTTACTGTTCACTGAGACCTCATCAGCAATCGTGTCAGTGGAAGGGTGGCTGTCAAGAAGCCATTCTTAACGAATGGAAACAGTGAGAAAAGGCGGAGGTGTGCCATATTATATAAGAAGTGGACTGAAAATCGATGGAAACAGATGTTATGGAGCGATGAATCCAATTGTAAAATGTTTGGTTCAAATTACTGTCAGTACTGAGGAGGTCGTGAGAGCAGTACAACAGTCTGCAGCTATCTGCTGGTGCAGGCTATAGTTTTAGGCTGCATTGCAACCAGTGGTGTTGGGGATCTTGTCAAAATTGATGCAATTATGAATGCAGAAAAGTACTCTCTACTTTTGAGCCACCATGCAGTGTGGGAATATTTTGACAGAGAACAGAACAAAAAGCAGCCAACATCTTAAGAAGAGCTTCAAAATGTCCTTTAAGAAGCTTGGAGAACTATTCCTGAAGTCTACTAAAGAAATTACATGAATATTTGCCTAACAGAGTTCAGGCTGTGTTGGAAAATAAAGGTGGTCCTACCCAATTATAACTATCAGGCTCATAAACCTGTACAAACTCTTCCATTGCCTAAAGGGCTGGATTTCCATGCGTGTGTGCACATTTCAATAAATTGTTGCACTTATTTCACATTTTCATAGAAAAACATACAAATTGAGCGGTGATTCAAGACTTTCATACAATATTACAGATATAATAATACAGCTAC